ATCCTATGAACCTAGTGGAATCGTTGAATCCTGAGATCGTTTACTCAAAATATTGACCGAAGTCAAACTTAGCCTTTTAAAGTCAAACTAAGGAACCAAGTGTTCCGATTTCAACCCGAACCCTTCCAATCCCGAACTAACCATCCCCGCAAGTCATAAAATAGTAAAATCACATATAGTGAGTCTTACTCAGGTAAACGGGATTCTAGAAAGAAAAATGACCGATCGAGTCATTACACAGGGTGTATGTTATTCATTGATAACATAGTTTTGATTAACGAGATGCAGAGTGGCGTTAACGAGAGCCTGGAGGTTTGGAGACATTACCTTGAGTCTAAGGGTTTCAAGTTGAGCAGGACAAAGACGGAATATCTTGAGTGCAAGTTCAGTACCGAGCCGAGGAAAGTGGGTATGGACGTGAGGCTTGGATCGCATGTTATTTCCATGAGAGGCAGTTACAAGTACCTTTGGTCGGTTATCCAGTGGGATGGGGAGATCGACGAGGATGCCATACACCGTATAGGGGTGGGATGGATAAAATGGAGGTTAGAATCTAGAGTCATGTATGACAAAATAATGTCACCACTACTCAAAGGTAAATTTTATAGAGCGGTGGTTAGACCGACCATGTTGTATGGGGCTGAGTGTTGGCCAATTAAGAACTAACATATCCAGAAGATGAAAGTAGCAGAAATGAGGATGTTGAGGTGGATGTGCGGGCATACTAAGATGGATAAGATTAGGAATGAAGATATTCGGAGAAGGTGGGCGTGGCTTCATGGATGATAAGATGCGGGAAAGCTCAAATGGTTCGGGCACGTACAGAGGAGAAGCTTGGATGCCCCGGTAAGGAGGTGCGAGCGGTTGGAGTTGGTGGGTACGAAGAAAAGTAAAAGGCGCCTATGACGTATTGGGGAGAGGTGATCAGGCGGGATATGGTGAGGCTTCAAATCTCCGAGGACACTGCCCTCGATAAGAAGCTATAGAGGTCGAGCATTAAGGTTGTAGGTTATGAGGTAGTTGAGCATATCTAGTCTACTAATGTGAGGCTAGGCTGGTAGAATTTAGTCTTAGACTGCTAGTGGTCAATGTTGTGTTTACACTACTCTTCCATTTTTATAGTGTCGTACCTTATTTAATGGTTATTTTTTGCTTTCCATCTATTTACTGGTTCTTGTGATGTTGTCATTATTTCTATGGGTTTTTGTTGATGGAACTGGTATATTGTCTCTTTTCGTCTTCTTGAGCCGAGGGTCTATCTGAACAGCCTCTCTACGCCCTCGAGGTAAAGGTAAGGTCTGGGTATACACTACTTTCCCCAAACTCCACTTGTAGGATTTTACTAGCTTGTTATTGTTGTAGTACTCTCTACCATACAAAGTTGTAGCTTAATTAGCATTTGTTATATTTCTTGGATGCAGAAATTGATCTTAGCTATAACTTCTTTTATATAGTTTCTAAACACATTTTCATTTGATAGGTAAATTGATAGTCTTCTAACTACATTTTGACTATTATTATAATTTACAACCTTCAATTATTATACTAACATAATGTCCAGTTTGAAATGAAGGTTATATTGAACCGAAACACCTTCATGTTTTTTTCGATGGGTTCAAAGCAATTACGTACTACATTTAAATAAAGATGCTACGATATAATAATCTTAATATGGATAAGATTCGAGCCATGAGAAAGAAAAAGATCTTGATGTGAATCTAAAGTGTGTACCGAGTAAAAACAACAAATAAGCAAAAATAAACAAAATTCAACTAGAGATATTCTTATATATATAAAAATAATAATAGTTCAATTGAAAGGGAATTTACATTATGTAATTTTTTATTTATAATTTATTTTTTCCATTAATTTGATGTAAAGTTGTAAATCACATTTCTGTCATCAATTTATTCACATAATTTTACTATGATCAATTATTTCCTAACAAATTTAACATTGTTATTTAAAAATACTAGTAGGGTGAAGCCCTGCTATGCACGGGCCCTACATAATATTTTGGCAAACAAAATAAAATTACAGAGAAACAACAACATAATTTGGTTAATGATTTACCAAGCTTGTTCAAACCAAATAAAAGACATCTAATCTAGCAAATTCCCAAGCAACATGCTATGAAGAGCTAATTTGTATAAAGATCAAACAATTTTGGGTCTCCGCCCGCAGTAGAAGCAACAAGTTAAAATTGAGGAATTTTTTTAAGGAATTTTTACCTATCTATACCATATATCAAACCTTATTACCTTCATTGTTTAAGAATTGTGTTAATTACATTTAAGCATATCAAATTACCATTTATATACCATGATTCAAATTAAGGGTATAATTATTCCTTCATTTATTGTAGGCGTGATTTTAGGACCGTATTTTCNGGACAAATTCGTGCAGAAATGAGAAGCAAGCATTTGCACGATGTTGATGCTGGTGGAGTTGATAAACTAGTCGAGAAACAACTCAAACGCAAGGAGAAAGAGTTGAGTGTAGATGACGATTTTGTAGATGATTCCCCCAAAGTTCCATCTGTGAAAAAATCCAAAGTATCTCCTTCTTCATCAAAACCAAAAAAGAAGAAACTCTAAAAAAAAGTACCAAAATTGGTTCACCAAAAAATTTCAATAAAGGTAAATACTATTTATTTTTCCTCACTGTTTTGTAGTTTGATTTTGGTTGTAAAAATCTGTTGTTCAAGTGTTAATTTAGTGTTCAAGTGTTTTTTGGCCAAATGTGGTATTGTCCTAATTTTGTAGATTATTTGTCGCAATTTTGTAGGTTTAATGGAACTGTGATTATTAGACAGTCTATAACTGTAGTTAGTTTGTAGTTG